CCGCCGACCAGCATTCTCCAACCCACTCTGCCCTGGGCCTTCTTTTCTAGTTCCATCCAATTCTTGTTCATTTTTCTCATGTCCGCCTGGAGTCCCTTCGGGGGCTACTGCCGGTCCCAAGCCCGGATAAAAGAGGAGGGTTGAACATGGGGTTAACGTCCCCATCCCGTAGAAAACTAACTCGCTAAAAAAACGCTAACCAGAAAAAATTATTCAAACCTTTTAAACTCTGTCCTGGGAGTCAGAAGGTCTTCATTTAGAAGAACTATGACGCCTCATGATGAAAGCCGAATTCCTTCGGAAGTTACGAGGCCGATGCCCCTTCTGACAACCAGAGCAACCATTTATTTAGGATATATATTTAGCTATATGAAACAAACAGCTATTTATTGTCGATCAGAACATAATAGAAGGAGGTACACTTTGATCGTAATAATGAAGTGTTTTGTAGATATTTAGGACGTAATTTCAATTAATAACACTCACTGATTCATTTATAAGTTTTAAATATTGACCCTAATTTAATGTCTATTAAAAATAATTGTTCACTTTAATGCTCTTTTTCTAATACTCTATAGGGATATATAAGCTGTCAAAGAACTGTTAAGGCAACTTGACATCGTACGTTTTGAAATAATTTACACTTCACACGCGAGACCAGAGGTCCTGGTTTAGAGTCTTGCATGCGGAGTCGTGGATGCGCACTGCTGAGGAGTCCCATAATAAGATGAAACGGCCGTCCACTGCTACCAGATTCTCAATGGTGTTCTAAAATTGGTCCATTCATGATATCAATCTATACTCAAAAATCTTCACAACCCTATACTGATAACTTTCAAAGAATTGTAATGTCAACAAATTACATTTTATTGATATTTTATTGAATACACTAGAAAATAATTTAAATAATCGAAAGTTATAAAAGAAGAGCTAATCAGTTCATCATCAAGCCAACTTAATACAAAACAGAGACGAAAAAATTTAATGAGTTTCCTGTGAGCATTATAATGAAGACTGAGAGGATGATTCAAAGTCAGGATAACCATCAGCTCTGAATGTTTCTAGAAGCTGGTTTCCGGTCAGAATGGTAGTTGATGAATTATAAGATAAATATTATCTACGCATATGATTTCAGTAAAACATCGAGTAGTGAGAAATGAAGAAACAGCTGAAGAGAATAAGTTATGAGAACGTTCATAGATGCTTTGAATAATAGATGAGATAAGTGTTTTGCTACACATCAAAGTATTTCGAAGGGGATAAAACTAATTTATACCAAATTTTGTTAAATAACGTTTTTATGACTTCCTTCAGTGTACTAATTGAACGAACTATAAACATATTTACAGTTTGACAATTTTCATTAGAACTCATCGAAAGAAATATTCGTATGTCGCTTTATTCAAGCATCAAAAGTACACGCTTACGTATAAATAATTTTATTCCATGACCCATATCATATATTTTCCTTCCTTCTAGAATCATTGTCTTCTTTGACTATACTTGTTTTATTTTGACAAACGGAAATAACATTTCGTTGTCAATAAAACATTTTCATCCTGTTCTGATTGAAAAACGACACAATTGAAAACATTTACATGAGATAAGATTAGAAGATGAAACGAATTTGATATAAATAATATCTTGGTATATTGTGGTTGATTTGATTTCTTTTTCCGTTTACATTATTTATTGAATGAGCTAGTATGATCGGTCCCAAGCCCGAATAAAGGAGGAGGGTTGGGCATGGGGTTAACGTCCCCATCCCGTAGAAAACTAACTCGCTAAAAAAACGCTAACCAGAAAAAATTATTCAAACCTTTTAAACTCTGTCCTGGGAGTCAGAAGGTCTTCATTTAGAAGAACTATGACGCCTCATGATGAAAGCCGAATTCCTTCGGAAGTTACGAGGCCGATGCCCCTTCTGACAACCAGAGCGACCATTTATTTAGGTACATGGAATGTTCGTACAATGTAGGACACCAGGACAGTCTTCCAAATTGCTGCAGAAATGAGAAGATACAACCTAGAGGTACTTGGGATCAGTGAAACACATTGGACACAAGTTGGACAACAACGACCAACTTCAGGAGAGCTCCTGTTATACTCCGGCCATGAAGAAGAAAATGCCCCACATACACAAGGAGTTGCATTGATGCTGTCCAAACAAGCGCAAAATGCACTTATAGGATGGGAATCTCATGGACCAAGGATCATAAAAACCTCCTTCAAAACAAAAAAGAGGGTATTTCAATGAACATCATCCAATGCTATGCGCCTACCAACGACTACAATGAAGAAGCTAAAGATCAATTCTACAATAGGCTGCAGTCAATAATCGAGAAGTGCCCAACAGAGGACCTGACCATTCTGATGGGAGATTTCAACGCCAAGGTTGGAACGGACAACACTGGATATGAAGACATCATGGGACGACACGGACTGGGAGAAAGGAACGAAAATGGTGAGAGATTTGCAAACCTATGTGCCTTCAATAAACTGGTCATAAGCGGCACCATATTCCCACATAAACGCATACACAAAACCACATGGACTTCACCGGATCACTCTACACAAAACCAAACCGACCATATTTGCATCAATAAAACGTTCAGGAGAACGATGGAAGATGTGAGAACCAAGAGAGGAGCTGATATAGCATCAGATCATCACTTGCTGGTCGCCAAGATGAAATTGAAACTCAAGAAGCACTGGACAATGGGGCGGACAATATCACAAAAGTTCAATACGGCCTTTCTTCAGGATACTAACAAACTCAACAAATTCAAGATAGTCCTCAGCAACAAGTTCCAGGCCTTTCATGATCTACTCAATGGAGAAGGAACTACTGTGGAGAGCAACTGGAAGGGGATCAAAGAGGCAATCACTTCAACATGTCATGAGGTCCTGGGCCACAAGAAGCACCATCACAAGGAATGGATCACTGTTGATACACTGGATAAGATTCAAGAAAGGAGGAACAAGAAAGCAGCAATCAATACCAGTTGAACAAGAGCAGAGAGAGCCAAGGCACAAGCTGAATACACAGAAGTAAACAAACGAGTGAAGAGGAGCATCAGAACCGACAAACGTAAATATGTGGAAGATTTAGCAACGACGGCGGAAAAGGCTGCAAGAGAAGGAAACATGAGACAACTGTATGACACGACAAAGAAACTCTCTGGGAATCGCCGCAAACCAGAACGACCAGTGAAAAGCAAGGAAGGCGAGGTAATCACCAACATTGAGGAGCAACAAAACAGGTGGGTAGAACACTTCAAAGAACTCTTGAATCGACCAGCTCCACTGAACCCACCCAACATCGAAGCAGCACCCACGGACCTCCCAATCAATGTTGGCCCACCAACAATTGAAGAAATCAGCATGGCCATCAGACAAATCAAGAGTGGCAAAGCAGCAGGACCGGACAACATTCCAGCAGAGGCACTAAAAGCAGACGTAGCGGCAACTGCAAGGATACTCCACATTCTCTTCAATAAGATTAGGGATGAGGAACAAGTACCAAAAGGCTGGAAAGAAGGACTCCTGATCAAAATACCGAAGAAAGGCTATCTCAGCAAGTGTGATAACTACAAGGGCATCAATCTTCTCTCAATACCGGGAAAAGTCTTCAACAGGCTATTGTTAAACAGGATGAAGGACTGCGTAGACGCCCAACTTCGTGACCAACAGGCAGGATTCCGTAAGGATAGATCGTGTACAGACCAAATCGCAACTCTACGGATCATTGTGGAACAATCAATTGAATAGAATTCATCACTCTACATCAACTTCATTGACTACGAAAAGGCATTTGATAGCGTGGACAGAACAACACTATGGAAACTTCTTCGACACTACGGCGTGCCTCAGAAGATAGTCAATATCATACAGAACTCATATGATGGATTACACTGCAAAATCGTGCATGGAGGACAGTTGACAAAGTCGTTCAAAGTGAAGACCGGTGTTAGGCAAGGTTGCTTACTCTCACCCTTTCTCTTTCTCCTGGTGATCGACTGGATCATGAAGACGTCAACGTCTGAAGGAAAGCGCGGGATACAATGGACATCTAAGATGCAGTTGGACGATCTAGACTTCGCAGATAATCTGGCCCTTCTATCCCAAACGCAACAACAAATGCAGGAGAAGACGACCAGTGTAGCAGCAGCCTCAGCAGCAGTAGGTCTCAATACACACAAAGGGAAAAGCAAGATTCTCCGATACAACATAGCATGCACCAATCCAATCACAATTGACGGAGAAGACTTGGAAGATGTAAAAACCTTTACATATCTGGGCAGCATCATTGATGAACAGGGTGGATCTGATGCAGATGTGAAGGCGCAGATCGGAAAAGCGAGAGCAGCATATTTACAACTGAGGAACATCTGGAACTCAAAGCAACTGTCAACCAACACCAAGGTCAGGATTTTCAACACAAATGTCAAGACAGTTCTACTGTATGAAGCGGAAACCTGGAGAACTACGAAAGCCATCATCCAGCAGATACAGGTGTTTATTAACAGTTGTCTACGCAAAATACTTCAGATCCGTTGGCCGGACACTATTAGCAACAACGTACTGTGGGAGAGAACAAACCAGATCCCAGTGGAGGAAGAAATCAGGAAGAAGCGCTGGAAGTGGATAGGACACACATTGAGGAAAGCACCCAACTGCGTCACAAGACAAGCCCTCACATGGAATCCTCAAGGCCAAAGGAGGAGAAGAGGAAGACCAAAGAACACATTACGCCGAGAAATGGAAATAGACATGAGAAAAATGAACAAGAATTGGATGGAACTAGAAAGGAAGTCCCAGGACAGAGTGGGTTGGAAAATGCTGGTCGGCGGCCTATGCTCCATTGGGAGTAACAGGCGTAAGCAATATATATATATATATATATATATATATATATATATATATATATATATATATATATATATAGTGTCACTAAAGTTTGCGAAAACCTGTGAACACTTCATTAACTCAACTGTAATATGGTAAGTAGTCTGTGCTAAATTAGTAAGTGTTAAATTTTAATTTAGCGTAAACATATAAATTTACGCACTACAGAAACTGGAGTACAAATGGGAAATGCATGCTGTAAACTTTATCGTTTAGAACATAGTATACAACTAAATGGTTTGATACTAACTGTTGAATTCTTTAATCAACAAGATAGTATGTTTAATACAATTTTCTCCAGCAAAATTCCGGAAAATACGCATTAAATGTTTCATTTATAGATTTAGGACCTAGTGTTATTGATGAAGTGAGAACTGATCCACACAAACAACTATTTCATCCAGAACAAATAATCACAGGAAACGATGCGACTAGTAATCATCCTCGAGGCCACTATACGATTAGCAAAGACAGTATTGGCCTGGTTCTTGATCGCATTAGAAGATCTGCTGATCAGTGTACGGTTTTCTTAATCTTTCATTCATTTGAAGGAGGTACTTGGTCTGGATCACATCATTGTTAATGGAGAGATTGAGCGTAGAATATGGTAAACAGTTTAATCTTGAATTCGCTGTTTATACAGCAATAAAGATTGCTACAGTTGATGCTGAACCATGCAATACAATTATTACCACCCATGCAACACTAGAGCATCCAGATTGTGCTTTCATGGCGGATAAACGGGCAATTTACTATATTTGCGGGTAACTAACATGTGACAGTTACAAACCAGTTGAATTTTATTTTCTCAGGAAAATTCATCTATTTGTTTATTTAAACACAAATGTTAGTACGAGGGAGCAACAAATACACATGCGCCACACTTTAACATATGATTTGTGTGAGGGACGGCATACCGCGCGAGTGCCCAAACCGAAGTACGTAGTTTTCTAAGGGGGCCACACCCGGAGTCTTAGACCTAAAGGTCCAACCCATGAGACAGCGGAGAAACATAAGGAGATGCATTCTCGTGGCAGCCGGTGACCAACAATAGGTTTATACGCCATTTGGTTCTTCAGAATCCTGGAGCCCATGTTCACCATTGGGTCGAAATCAGGGTCTTCCAGCCCCGCTAGGTGGGCCTCCATATCCATCGATCCGGTGAAAGCACCGGACATTCGCCTTTTGTCCTCTCAATTTCGTAAACAAAACCCCCACCTCGAGGCGGTGAGTAGGACTTTCCTGGCAGTGGTTGCATATGAGTGACCATGTAAGAGAATTTCGGGAGGGAGAGCGGACTTCCCCCCCCTCAACCGTACCCGGGCATTCGGGGGCCGTAACATAAGAAGACCTAATTATTCAAATCTAACGAGACTGATCGCTTGAATTTTTACTTCCATCACTGCTTTGATTTTCTTTCAAATGATTAAACGTGACCTACGTACTGGGAAATATATGGCGTATTGCTTATTATATCGTGATGTTACTCCTAAAGATGTTAATATGGTCATCGCAAGTATAAGAACAGAACAGTCCAATTTGTTGTCCAACTGGATTCAAAGTTGCAGTTAATTGTCAACCTCCAGCATCCAGACATAATGGTGACTTAGCTCAAGATCAAAGAGCTGTACGTATGCTAAGTAATACAACTGCAATTTCAGAAGCATGGATGAAACTGGATGGTAAACTTGATTTAATGTATTCGGAACACGAATTTGCTCATTGGTATGTAAATGAAGGTATGAAAGAAAGTGAATTCAGTGAAGCATAAGAAGATATAGCTACTTTAGAAAAGATTATGAAGAGATTAGTCAATAAACACTTAATAGAGGTGAAAACGGATTTCGACTGTTACTTTTACAGGAGCTTCACCCAGTCAGTCACAACGTACAACTTCGCACGTACGTACATCAGTTCGAGTTGCTATACCACATTAGCAGAGATACAATTGTCGATTCAAATCCCATGGTGGTAGAGGTAGTAAAAGTATAAGCAGTGATCAGAAAGATTAGTTTTTGAATGTTATTCAAGGAGTATAATCCAGTGAAATAAATTTGGAAAGAGAAGAAAGGGCACGAAGAATCCAGAAGATTGGAATATGGGAAAACACAAAGAGTGGATGCACCTGCGCCATCGCAAACGATTTTGAGTCATGTCATTCAAAGTCTCTAACCATCGGTTGCCATCGTCTCGCAAATCCCAACCAGGTAGTCTACACCTGCCAACATGGCTCAGTCCACTTGTCAATGACTTCACGGATTTGTGCCATGTTTGGTCTCGCGATCCCTAGCTTTATTCCAACCTATTCCTAAACTATAAAACATAGCACGTCTGTGGTTGGGCATACGTAACACGTGTCCCGGCCATCTCAACTGATGAAGTCTCACTACTTCATCAATTGATTCGCCATCCTTACCTAGTACCCGTTTCCTAACAACTACATTACTTATTCGGTGGTCCCAGGATATACGAGCAATGTTTCGAAGACAGCTATGATCGAATACTAGTAACCTACTGTTATCCTCTACTCTTACCGGCCATGTTTCACTGCCATAAAGTAGGACGGAACGAACTGCTGCGCAGTAAACACGTCCTTTGGTTGATAGACGGATATCTCACCTACGCCATAAATGACTCGGGTTAGAAAAAGCTAGTAGAGCCTTCTCTATCCGTGCTGAGATTTCGTCACACACCAGAACACAAGAGTTGATGAGATTCCCAAGATAAGTGAAGCGGTTGACACGCTCAACTACTCCACTCCCTATCATTAGTTCATGTGTCCGTTCAACCCAATCCTGAAGCAACATTTTGCATTTCGAGGAAGGGAATCGCATCCGAATATGCTTGCATTGTTGATTAGAATGGTCAGAAGACTGCATTCTGTAAGCGCATATATATTGGCGCTCTCTTGTACCAATATTCATGTGTCCAAATAAATAAAATAATAAATATTCTGTAAGCGCCTTCACCAAAAAGAACTATGTCATCGGTATATTCCAAGTCAGTAAGTGAATCTCCCGGTAAAAGTTCAGGAGCCTCACTAACTACTGAGAGCAAATCAATTGCGATCAGTCAGATATATTCAGACGAAATGATCATACCTTTTGTTTGGATAATTATTTGCAATATATTGTTCGTTTTAACTATACTCTTTCAATGGGTCAACACGTTATCAAATGGATAATATATGTATGGTTTATCATTTTTGTGCCTTAACGCTACGCAAGTGTAGAAGATTGTATGAAGTAGTGGTAGTCTATGGGATACCCAAAACACCTGTATTCGTACCAATGAACTAAAAGGAGAGGCGGCATCCCAGCATTATATGACTATACGGTGATGCATGTTACTTACGTTGATATGTATGAACAGTATATAGCACCGGTTAGAAGTGAAGTGCCTGAGAGCAGAAGAATGATAACACAGAAAACTAAGAGCAATCGAGATAACAGATATGAATGAACAATGAAGTTTGTAAGGAAAAATTCGAAGATGTGCAAATTACGTATCTAATGTATAGTTTTCACATTTTACTGAACCACTGTGACTTCGAACTGAACAAATTGGTTCGCCCACCTGAGTTCTTCGTTTACAACAGTACTACATCACCGGTAGAGGACGACTACGAAGAAGCTCAAGTATCCTCTAGCTACCTTTAGAGACCCCTTCCCATCCGGTTCCTATAAACCCCCCATCCGTACTCTAGACATCGTGACCATGAAAAAAACTCAATATTTTGGTTAGTTAAATAAGCTCGCATAGGTTAATTCATTGGACCCGATGGAATACAACCTAGATTCTCAAAAACCCAGCAGATTTCTATCGCGAATCTCTTAAACATGTTCCGACCTACTTATAACCCAAGGTAGATTAGTAAAGAACTGGAAGAATGCCAAATTAAGTCGTCTTCGAGACAAGTACGAAACAAACCTGAGAAACATTGATATGCAAGGCCAACCAGCGTGGTTGTTTAGATCTTAGAGGTTATTCGGAAATATATAGGCGAAAATCTGGTCCTTTCTGAAAGGTAGCACGGTTTCAGGAAGCCCGTGAGAGTTGGTGTTATATCGACTAAAGGGTACCTATGAATGTAGCCTTCATCGACTGCAGTAAGGCTTCTGACAAACTTCCACACATCATTCTGTTATCTAAATCAAATGATATCGGGACTAGATGCAACTTATTTATGTGGATAAGAACTTTCCTCGTTGGGGATCAACCCCAGGTGTTCTAACCGAGATACTGTACTTAGTGGAGTCCTGGGATAGTTTCGGTACGTATTATTCCTACAGTATGTAAATAACCTTATCCTATCATCGAATTCGTTATATGCTGACGGTATCAAGAAATGGGGAGCGAGAAAATGAAAGATTAGAGCCTCAAAATGACATGCAGCCATCTCATTACTCTAAAATTTGTCAATAAGGGCACCCATGTGTGATATAATGCATATTGGTCATCAAAATACAGATACATGACAAGTGGCATTAAGCAACCTGTTCCTCAGAAACAATGACCTGAAGGTCATCGTTGGTTAAAACTTGGGAACTCCACCTTGCTATGCAATAGCTGCCTACGGTCTCAGAAACCTCTGGTCATAACGTGGAGCCGGCGGTCATGTCGATGTTGAGACCTTTAAGACTTTACCGTGTTTATTTGGCCTAAACCTAAATAATGCATACAAGCAGCCTTCCCGTACAAAATAAGAGAATGGACTGATGGCAAAGATACAGAGTACAAAACTCCCGTAAACGAGACTATCTAAACAGAAGGAGCAGAGGTGACTTGACCACATATTCTAAATTATCTAATGATGAACTAGCGAATAACATGCCAACATCCTCTCTCAAAACGAAATTTACGAGAAATTCCTGGAAATACTCACCCATTTGGCTAAATCGTTTCAGTTCGTGATGAAAATCCTAAATATAGTTCCTAACCTTAACGATCAACTATAAATCATAATTCTAGTTCTTCGCCCTGGTTTATAAACCTTATTTGATCCTAGTTAGTAGGTGGGTATCCTCAAGATCACAGCGTCTCTAGGTCCTAAATAAATTATAGTCCTACCCAAATTATTTGTCAAGTGCTTATCAACTTTCTCATCGAGCCATCAACAATGGAGCTCATCCACTCAACACGTGGTTAAAACTCTATCTTTTGACGCACTCAAAAGATGGATCGGCTGAGACCAACGCCGCTCGGACTAAAACAGGTCACCTGCCCTTCTATATTTTCTAGACTGATACTGTGACTGAGGAATGTCTTGGCAAGACGATTATTAGCATAAAGCGTACCTAATGGTCTGAGCGAAAACCCGCTAATTTTAGGAGCAGTTACAACACTCAATCCGTCAGTCTGAAACTATGTGCTTACCATCGATAAGCATATTTAATGTCATTACAATCATTTATTCAAAAAGAGAATGATTTGACCAGCAATTTATTACATGGACATATTATTTAAGAGGGATAAACCTGGAACTGTGAGTAGCACCAACACCAGGTCTGCCGTGCTTGACAGGCTTATAGGTTATTGAAAATTCTCCGAGGTAGTGGCCAAGCATTTCAGGTCTGATCTCGACAGTGTTAAACGACTTTCCGTTATAAACACCAACAACTGATCCGATCATCTCTGGAAGAACAATCATATCTCTGATATGGGTTTTGACAGCCTGAAGACAATATATTTAATAGGTACTTACAGCCGGCTTTTCACCAAAAGGACATTCTTTCTTGCTTTTCCTAAGCTTTTTTAGAAGCGTCATGTGTTTATTACGAAGTTTTTTTTTAATTCTTCTGCGTATCCGAGCAGGCATCAGCTGGGCTAACTGATCCCTAACAAAAATTTTCGGTTATATTAAAAAAACCACTTACAAGTTCATATCCAGAAGCTGGTCTAAATCAACACCTCGATAGAAGAACTTCTTGAACGGTCTACGTTTCTTGACGGTTTCTTCAGCCTACGAGCGCTAGAAATATAAGAATTCACAACTTACCATTACGAAACTCAGGTCGTGACTTTCTAACTTTGCCGCCTCCGACAAAAAAGTGAGTTAAAGATTTCAAGGCTATCTAATAGTGAAAATCTAGTGCTAGCTGATACAATCTCTCACATTTTAAAGACAGACTAGCGTGAAGCTTCTAATCAAGAAACTAAAATATTGGGTAACTGGACACTTTGTGATTACTTTCTTCAATCTTCAGTAATAAGGGTAGTAGGTTGATAAACCCGTATTAATCCTGACGCACTGCTTTCCAGTGAATGTCCAGCTTCTCCTTGAAAATATTCACTGATGGGGCTGATACCACTTCTTCGGGTAAGGCGTTCCTATTATTCCGAAGCTCGTGAGCTTCTGCATAAGACCTACATATGAAACCTTGTCAAACGCTTTGCTAAAATCCATGAATATCACGTCGACAGACAGACCGTTATCTAGGGCTGCTGTCCAATCCTCCCTCGCAATAAGCAAGTTAGTCAAGCATGAACGCTTGTTACGAAATCCGTGTTGCTCACGAGCTAACAGATTGTGTAAATCTATGTGGTTTAGCAACCTAACCCGAATTAACTTTTCAAGTAACTTAACGACTATGCTAGTTGGACTAATAGGTCGGTAGTTAGATGCTATCTGTCTCTGACCGTCCTTAAATATAGGACTAACTATAGCATCCTTACAACCTCTAGGGAGTTGAGCGAGTGAAAGGGACATGTTGAAGAGTGTTGCGAGAGGTTTTGAAATAATGTCCGCAAGAGATGACAGCAACCGTGGATGTAACCCGTCAGGGCCCGGTATCTTACCAGGTTTGAGGTTAGTTATCAACGGGAGGACAGTTTCCTCAGTCACCTGTACAGATTCAATGGTTGGTATCTCGGTGTGAGTGGGACAAGTATTTGTTACAATAAACGTGGAGAAGACTTCGCTAAAATAGTTTGAAAAAGTTTCAGCTTTTGGTCGATCTGATTCAGCTAGTAATTCTGAATTTTCGTGTAACAGTAACGGGGGAATACCATCACTACGTTTCATTCACCGTTTAACATACGTAAACAATCGTATCGGACAAGTACGGCTATCATATACTAACTGTCGTTCGTAAGTGATACGAGATTTGGCTATGGTTTTCTCACAGATATTACGGAATTTTTGGTACTCACGCTTAAATGGTGCATGACCTGTAAACAAGAATAAGTCCCAGAAATGTTTCCTACGCTTTAACAGCTTCCAGGTTTCCTTGTTAATCCATGGAGGGCAATGTGATATCTTACGTGCTGACCACGGGACAAACGGCGATGTTACGGACTCGAATGTAGCCTTAAACTTATTCCATTCATCTTCGATCAATCCATCCGCGTCGACCGAACAATCATTCGAGGTAGCACAGTTTCTGATTGCCGGAATATTGGCCCGCCAGATATTGGGACGGGTTGGAGCAGATACGAATTGTATACCATGTGTCCTAAACTTAAAGTGAATTACAACGTGATCACTGTTCACTAGTGGAGGAAGGTGCTGGATATCAAAGACATCCTCACAGTGGTGGGTGAGGGCGAGGTCCAGCAGTGACGGATCATGTTGCAAATCAATATGTGTCGGTTTCGTGATACATTGTACAAGTGCACACTAAATAACGGTAGATAAAAGGTCGCCATCGAAACCACTACCTGGAGCTGTAAGCTCTATCCAGTTGATATGCGGTGCGTTGAAGTCCCCAATGATGAGACAACATTCTGCCATACTCCAAAAACACATGTGTCTTAGGATAAAGTCGTCAGCAAGACAAGACGGACTACGGCATATCCCCCTATAGTCACTAACCCATTTCTAGATTTAATCTTACAACATGCAACCTCACATGTGCCACTGATATGAGCCTCCGATATGGTTAATCGTATACGGAAGCGATCCCTAACGTATAATGTTATACCTCCCCCCTTGCGACTTGAAACTCTGTCATTTCCAATGCAGATATAGCCTGCAATGAAAGGAGAAGAGTCTATATCTACTGTGAACCAAGTTTCTGTAACAACGATTATATCGGGACATCATTCTTCTACCATCAGACTTAGCTCGGATGTTTTATTTCTAAGACTACGAGCGTTCGTGTAGCACACACTTAAGTTGTTTAGGGAATCATTCTTTCAACCCATACAGACCTCGGAAGCATTGGCTTCCAAGACCTGACTTTCTAAGCCTAAATAGTCTTCTGATATTAGGTAGTACTGAAAACTTGAATATTTTACAGCAATAATGCTAGTTGGAGTTCGGTATATTTTGAGAAATAGTCGGTTTGTTCCACTTGAACGAGGCTACTTTTATAGGCTGTCGTTGCTTCACTATACGTTTGTTCGTTCGGTCATGAAATGAAAGGCACAGTGGACAGTAGGAATAGTACACACAGAAGATAAAATAATAGTCTTAAGAACTCAATTTATCCGTATACCCAGTGCTATGGCAGTAGAAATTTTAATGAATCTTCAAAACAAAAAGTCTTCGACACTGATGCTAACCTCATTAATTTTACCAAACCCGCCCTAGCTCAAGGCGCTCATTCACGAATCCTCAACAGATCACTGCAAGGTATGAAGCGCTACGCACCTATTGAAGCAGCTACACACCTTCAATCACACTCTCTTCAACACACTAGCAGATACGGACTTCGAAACAAAGTATCTACGGTCAAAGTTGAGAAATACAGATCAAAAACTCGGGAAAACTTCTTCCTCACCAAGTATGCAATAATATGGAAGTCTTCCCTCCGAGACTCGCATGGCAGATGAACTACATACGTTTGTGAAACTGCTTGATCAAGCCCTCACTCGCACTGATCTTGCACGTACGAACACATCTGCGCCCCACTCAGACATCATAGGCTCTCTCCATGTCTAGACCAAAATGGACTTCAAGTTCAGTTTGCCTTATTTTTCATACTTTACAGTTGTATTAATTACTTTTTCCACCCCATTTCTTCACTTGAAGTAGACAGGTAACTCACTGGACCTATCATTACTGTTAAATTAAACTCGGTCGATAAGGGACACTCACTACCACCCTAAAAAGTCAAGAGGACCGCACAATCGGCTGCCTACTACCAGCGGCCTTGCATCTATGGAACCTGTTACCAATCAACTGGTTAAGACAACAGAAAATAACATCAGCACCAAGTTACTGTGAGTTCCTTCCTGTTTATCCTGTATTAACTTTTTACTCTTCTGTACACTATGTTGACTAGCAATTAATATTATTTCTCCACTCGTTCTCTTATCCACAACTCAAATACTTCTATACATTTTCCGCCTGCTTAAATAAACAACTATCCTACAATATACCCTTTTTAACGCTGATACTCTGATTGGCAAACTATACTTTATACTATAGTCAACAGAGGCATTGCATCGATGCTTTACCCACAGTCCATAGCTTGTAACTGCCTGATAAGCTTGTAAAATGGTACTTATAGAAATAGTGCTTTCCAACAGGTTGTGAAACACAGAGAATTGTGTGAGATATGACGTATATACAAAAATAAGCCTAAATGAGCCTAACATCACAAAAGGAGGGAGGGTGGAGTTACTGACCAGCAAGCATTGATGGTGAGGGCGATAACTTCAATCCACCCGTGTTTGTGGGGACAGAACATTTTGTATGTATCAGGCTCTTTATAATTCAGAATAAGACAGTCAATCTAAGATATAGATTGTCTTCCTACGCTCACCAATAAGACTCGTGTTTCCAATATTATGCTGGATTAGCTATTCTACTAAGACAACTCGGACTTTTACACTAGGATTGCGTGGCTGACATCGGACGGACAAAAAAGAAAAGAAAAAAGACAATAAAAGAAATAGTCACTAGTATTCTTAACACTTCATCCTCTATACACACACCCTTCGAATAAACCGCTTCCTTTGTACCAACCTTGACTTCCCTTCGTTCATGTGAGCTTACTCCAACTTGTTAAACATCACAACTCATTGTTCTTTATTAGTACATTCTCTAATATGGAGCCTTTGACTTCACTTCACTCTAACAAGACATTATATGAATTTATTCTAATTTATTATACCTCTGTCCGCTCTACTACACAATGTTAAGCAACCTTTGGCGTTCATATCCAAGTGCCTTGCTGCTCTTCTGTTTCTCTTTTTTTCTCCGTCAGAATCTTGCTCTGAGAGCACAGCTATGAAACTTCTGACGTTTGGAGAAAACTTGACGTACGCGTCCTCTCAAGGTCATAGTTTACAGCAAGCGCTCTACGATTTCACTTTATAACAACTATAAACTTAATAAGTTGGGAAGCATTTTGCGAACCAACAAATGTTGTAATTTATAGATCATGCCTGTAAAAACGGTGTGTACCTGCAAATGCAGAAATATATTATTATTATGTATAATTAATAAGATATTCCGCCATCACAAATGGCCACGACAACACAACAATTGGCGACTCTGTCATAACACCAATACTGACTTCCGATAAATCAAACAGTGGCCTTGGTATTAATATGACCTATCTTTTTCGTTCATCTAAGACTGATAATCTGAGAGGGCACTCTAAGAATGCTAAAAAACCGGAGTCGAATCGTTTACATAAGACGTTCTGTAGAATTATGGTCTACTATGATATTAGTATTGCTCTAATAATAGACCTAATCCTAGATTTGTAGATTTGTCATGATATAACTGCCTAATCTATAAGATCTTATGTGGAAGTCACACCATCGACTACACCAACTCACTGTATCGTATCAATTACCAATACATGATGTAGAACAAGGTTAGGCTAGGGAAGGAACAATATATTTAATATGAATAGAAGATATAAGGTAACGTTCAGATGGACCACGCCTGCATGGTCGAGCCATGCCACTCGATCAACTCCAGTCCATTCAATTCATTCTTCGCGCCTTCTCCATTGTTAGGTATTTCTCCGCGTTAAATATTGAATATCTAATCAGAATATTTAAGTCTGCCTGAAGTGCGCATGCATCTGCATTTCTTGTTAT